TTTTTATATTTACATGGAAACAAATATTGCAGAAAAGTCGTCACAAATAATATTGGCACTGATATTTGAAACACCTGGACTAAAGAAAATCTAATATATACTGATTTTTATTTTTTCTTATTTTTAGATAACTTTCGCATTGGGAGTGTTACACTATATTTTTCGATCCAGTAAGCTCACGAAACAACCACAAACAGTTAACTTTATCAGTCTATGTATATTTTATATTACATTCATAAAAGATATATATGAAAAATAAACATAATCAATTTTCTCTAGATTAAATGAAAAGTTGTAAAATTCATTTGATACAGTTTATATTAAAGAAAAGTCAGTATTTCATATCAAAGAAAGAATAAAATGGTAATACTGTGTTACATTTGTGTTGTTTAAATGTTTAGATAACAGACATGTGTCGTAATTTGATAAACACCGTACCTTATTGTTATTTGCTTACGCAAAGGCAAGGGGGCATTAGGTCCTATTCGTCTTTCAAGTCTCTATGTCTGGCACAAAAACTTAAACTTTGTTCATAGCTTTTAAATGGGAAGAGATATGGCCTTTCTATTTCACATTTATCTTAGCTGTGACAAGACCTTTCGATATAAACAATGGATAATGGCTCCCTATTCTTGAACTTAGTCTGGCCTATTTTTTAAAAGGAATATTTTTACATTAAATTGGTCATAATTTTTTTTATCAGGAAAAGATTAGACTTTTTTAATTGAACATGACTGTGTAATACATTTACCTGTGACAAGTCATTTTTCAAATATAATATGATTTAAATGTTTAGATAACAGACATGTGTCGTAATTTGATAGACACCGTACCTTATTGTTATTTGCTTACGCAAAAGCAAGGGGGCATTAGGTCCTATTCGTCTTTCAGTCTCTATGTCTGGCACAAAAACTTAAACTTTGTTCATAGCTTTTAAATGGGAAGAGATATGGCCTTTCTATTTCACATTTATCTTAGCTGTGACAAGACGTTTCGATATAAACAATGGATAATGGCTCCCTATTCTTGAACTTAGTCTGGCCTATTTTTTAAAAGGAATATTTTTACATTAAATTGGTCATAATTTTTTTTTATCAGGAAAAGATGAGACTTTTTTAATTGAACATGACTGTAATACATTTACCTGTGACAAGTCATTTTTCAAATATAATATGATTCTGACAATCTGACCAGGACCTTGAAGTTTGACCTTTCTTTTAAAAAGTATTATTTTTCCTTATGTCGTTTGTTTAAGAAAAGCTAAGGGTTTTCATATTAGGCATATGCACTACCATTGACAAGTATTTCTGAGCATCTTTTAATTTGGATCCTTTGATATTGACCTGTTTGTTTGATTTTTTGGGGATTTCTTTAATGATGATTTTAACTTTTATATTTCAAATTCCCTTATGCAGAAATATACCGTCATCACGTGCATACGGAGTGTATATATCTCAGTTGATTCAATACTCAAGAGCATGCTGTACGTATGAACATTTTCTAACACGAGGTAAATTATTGATAAGCAAGTTGAAGAAACAAGAATATCAACAGTCTCGTTTAAAGTCATCATTTCGTAGGTTCTATGGTCGATACAATGACCTTGTCAGGAAATAAAATATATTATTTAGTCAAATGCTGACTGACATTTTTCATACCAATTGTTAGTCTATTATTTATACACTGAATTGATGACGCATATTTCCGTTATTTCCCGATCACGTCAAGGAGCACACGGACACGGCGGGTATGACCGGTCAGCAGGGGATGCTCACTCCTCCATGGCACCTGATCCCACCTGTGATGTTTCGGATGTCCGTGTTTGCTCTACTCCTATTTTGTATTGTTTTATTGACTTTTATATTGAATACTGTTCGTTATCTCCATATGCTTTTGGTGTGACTAACTATGATGGTCACAATGACATACACGCCGCCGTAGTGGGTTGAAACATAGATGAATAGAATAATTTTTCATCTTTGGTTTGAATTTAATGCTATCGAATCTTTTTAATAAACTTTAATGTTAAATTCATCTTTTTTATAAATTTTCTTTTCATTTATTATGTTTTAATCAGAGTGTACTTATGCTTTTTTATTTAAAATAATTAAAATATAAAACATTTCAGTTATATGAATGTCTCGAGTTTAGGTTAGGCCACTTTAGAAGCTAATAGTTTCACAAATAAAAAGAAAACTCCTTTTAAAATAGGAAGCAACGCTTCAGATAATTATACATGTACATCAACTGTAGCTATGGATTAAATTCCATATTTCGCTGAGGTTCATTTTGTACTGCTTTCAATTTCAATACCGGGTATGCATGGCATATAAAGATCTATGAAAATTTAGTTGATCATAAAGAACAATTCATCGTTCATGTTCTTGTCACAAACTGCTTGAGCTTGATACTTTACACCAGGATGTCTTACGCGTTTTCACGTGGGGTTCACGCTTATCCTTATTAACCTCTATAGCAGATGATCTTTCAGTTTATGCTTGGAGAAATTACAGCATCAACTCCTAATCTTCCTATTTATTAATATTTCTGTTATTGATTTCATTATATTTAGGTTTTGTTTTCTTTTCAACCTTACTTTTTTTATAGTCTTGATTTCAAGTTTCTTCCCTCGCAGTCCCTTTCTAATGTGAAATCCGCGATTTTTTAACCATTCTATAGTATTTAAACCACAGTTCGCCGCCACACTGGTGAAAGAGAATTTGTTACCTTGAAACAAATGTCAGATATAATGGAAACCTTAACAATTGCATAATTATAAATTGAATAACTACCATAAAGTTACCTTTTATACAAAATCAGACTCTTAGATTTGACTTTTCTCGAAAGCAAATGAAAAATTTTTGAATGAAAAGAAAATGGGTGTATCATCGATGAAACGATTATTGTAAATTAACCAAATAAAGAAATATGATTTTCATTTTTTTTTTACTCACAGGGTACACAGAATATGTCGGATTTACAATACCCATTTCCTGTTTGTTTTGTGAATGATTGTCCAAGAAACAAAACATCATGGATGGCGTCATCAATCTTACTACACTGCCAAAATGACACCAAGGGCAAGAATACATATCATTGCGTGCCCAACAAAGAGAAAACAAAATTGATGCAGTTCTGCTACGATAAAAATATTGCACGCCATCACACTGGTATAACTGCCCTAAGTGAAGAAATATTACTGTAGAAAGCACAGAGAAATTCACTTTTACAAGGATACCATTGGCGTCGGAAGCAAATTGAAAGTGGGGGGGCTAAGTGTAAGAAAATTTTTTTGTACCTCCAAAAAAATCTGACAAGCAAAAAAAAAAAAAAAAAAAAAAAAAAGGAAATGTCTATATGTCTATTTCCCAAACACGAAAATCCTATTTCGTGGGGGGGGGGGAGGGGGGGCAAGGTTCGAACTCCAGTACCAAAAATTTTCTTCCAAACACCAACACTTTTACCAATTTTAACCTATACTAAAACGTGTCTGTGGAAAGTGGGGGGGCTAAACTCACGAAGATAAGTTCAATGTCTATACTATGTATATATTTGGAAAAAAAGTGGGGGGCTAAGCCACCCCCCCCCCTAGCCCCCCCGGTTCCGACGCCTATGGATACTCACTTCCGCCCCAGCCGCATATATATTGTGATGAAATTAATTTTATTTAAAAAGCACAAATTACAACTACATGTAAATTTAAACTTAAACTAATATAACTGCCCTAAGTGAATTGGTAATGATCCTCTAAAACTAATGTCCAAATAACTGTATCTCACGTCCATTCTCAATGACCGTGTAGTGTAGGGAAGCGTTGTGAGAATTCCATCGGCATCGAAAGCAAGTTTTTTAACTTGCCTAGATAGCCGAGTGGTCTAAAGCGCTGTTACTGCACTGCTAGGAGACAGAGTCCGTAGATCGAGGTTCAACCACGGGCTGGGGCGGAAGTGAGTATCGTTGTAAAAGTGAATTGCTCTGTGCTTTATATATATATATATATATATAGAGAGAGAGAGAGAGAGAGAGAGAGAGAGAGAGAGAGAGGATATCTATATTGTGTGATTTGATATTGGCTTTATCCAACGAGTTGAAATGGTTTTTATATTCGCGAGGCTTGCTGAGCGAATATACACCATTTCAACGAGTTGGTTAAAGCCAATATTAAATCACATAATTGTAAATGTTTTATTTATCTCATACGACTGTTGTTTGAATAAAATTTTGAGACTTCCCCTGAAAAACTACATGAATGATTGCCAATTCAAATTGATGACGTATAACTTGATGATGTAGCACCGTTGATTGTTTACATACCTCAAAAGAAAGTAGATCGTGTTCAAAAGTTAAAATTTTTCCTATCTGCATCTTTAAGAATATTATGTGACATTTGCTGGAGCTTTACGTCGCCCGAACTTCTGACTGAAAGTTGTAAGGACCATGGGATCGTGAAAATTAACTTTTTGTTCGGTGGCAGTTCAAAACGTGCTAGGCAAGGCTAGGGGCCTACTTGTAGATTCATTGTTGATCCATGGTAAGTTACACCTATATTACTAGGTAGGCATACGTAGCATAATATAAGAAAGCCTTATTGAAGATGTTAAAGGAATCATATAACAACAACATAACTGCTAGGCTTTACTTTCTCCGAAAACGATTAAAAATGAAGTGGGGGTAGCATATAGATCTCTCTCTTCAAGTAGCCAACACAGGATCCTCGATCAAATAACTAAGACACTTCTTTGACATATACCAGTCTTTTTCTGGCTTTTAAAGATATTATCGCTCTTTATCATTCATTTTATTTCGTCAATAATAATCATCACAAATAAAAGTTTCAAATAAAATCTTGAAGCGAGGGATCGTGTCAAAACCGGAAGTGCTATTGATAAAGCATCTACTCGTTGATCAAGCATAAGTTTATCCAACTGCCTGTATCGCCAACACGCATTCATGAGATAAATATACATTATGTGTGTGTTAGAGAGAGAGTTTAAGGGAGAGAGGGTGTGTGTGAGGGTATATGTGTGATTTTGTTTCCTTGAATTCATTTTGGTTTTCGGACTTAAATTGATTGTAATAATTATTTTGTTCCAAATGTGTATCTCATTCTTATTGTACTCTCTCTGAAAGGCAGTTGTCTGCATCTAGATGATGCTGGTTATCTAGACGAAGTGCAGTGTGGAGACTTCATCTCTGGATGCCCAAAAGTCCCATATTTAAGCAATGAGATATATAAATGTAAGTTGTTTTTGTTGAATTCTTTTGTTTAAATGCAAGTAAATGTTTTCGATCTTTCTTATAAAACGGCTACGATAAAATGAAATGTTTAGGATGTAGGAACATGTATGAAGAATGAAATTCCAATATTTTCTCTATGAATTATACACTCAGCCTCAATTTAAAAGGTAAGTCATGTATTATATCAACGGATCTGTTGAAGATATTTATAAAGCTTAAGCGTGTAAATGATTCTACGGAAGCCCGTTGAGGCCGGTTCAAACAAAGAAATATTTTTTATTGCGTTTAAACGCAAAAATAATTGAGTTTAAAAGCAATTATTATTGCGTCTAGTCGCAATAATTATTGCGTTTAATCGCAAAAATATTATTGCGTTTAAACGAGTCTCTGTTACTGAAACATTTCCTGTACTATTTGTACATGCATGCACAATTTGATTTTGACATATCTTTTTAATTCCTCCAACACTTTCAGTCCATTAAGGATTTTTCCTCACTAGAACACAAAATTGTATCGATTTTTGCTATTCGGTGACGGTAAGTAAGGGTTGCATAAGGGTTTGTGGTAGTTTTGTGATCTATTTAGTGTGTAAATCACACATTGATTTATAGGGGTAATTAAATATTTGAAGATTCTGAATAGATGATCCACATGAATTCGTATTTGCAATTGTGAAAACTATGAATGCTTTCCCTGTAACAATTATTTTTTCTTGTGTTTTGCAAGATCAAGAGTGTTTGGTAATTGACAGGCAGAATAAATGTTTCGAAGCAGCTGCGTCATGCCGGAAACTAGCAACAAAGTTAGTTAGATGTACATGTTTTACTTCCCTCTGTCTTTTAGTTGACATTAATTTTACTGTCAGTAATGCCAAATTATTCATATGTTGGGGTTAGGTGACATTTTCGTTATATCCAAGGAATGAGAAGACCAACAATTAACATGCTAATTTTTAAAAGTGTAACTATGCTAAAGTCTAATATTTCTCATTTGATACCAAAATTAAATCCCTTACTGGTTTATTCCCTAAATTGCTATATTTTTACCTCACAAAAATGAAAAATGTTTTCCCTCTTTGCAGTAGCACGACAGTGGGGCGGATAATGCTGACTGCTTCAAGCCCAATCATTGTTATTTTCATCATCTGTTTTATCTGCGTTAGATATATGTATCGACGCAAATGTGTATCATACAAGAATCCTGAAGCGAGATATCTTTTCCGTAAGTAATTATGTTGAGGTTCATGGTTAAGTTAAATTTTAAATTACAAGTCAATCTATATTTGTATTTATTCTCTAACGAACTAAAAAACTGTCAAGAATATATATATATTAACAATGGTAATTTCCATTCCTACTTCTATACATCATAACCTGTTGAGCTTCATATAAAAGGTACCACAGAGCCTGACAAACTTGCATATTTTACTTGAAAAAGACGTTAAAGGTAATTTAACAACCAACTTTATTATATACGTGATGACTTTAACTTTTACTTTGACTTAAACTATACTCAACTTCCCTTACTTAGTCAGCAATATACCTTTATCGTCTGCATACAGAGTATATATATCCTAAATGATTCGACATGCAAGACCATGCTCTACATATTAAAAATTTCTGGAACGAGGTAAATCATTGGCAAGCAAGTTTATGAAACAAGAATAAAAACAGTCTCGTTTAAAGTCATCACTTTGTAAGTTCTATGGTGGAGACAGTGACCTTGGCAATTTATCCAGTTTATACAGTTTATATTACAATTGTTAGGCCATCATTCATACACTGAATTGACGACGGATTTTTTCCGTTATTTCCTGACCATGACAAGGAACACACGGGGGGTGTGACCGATAATCAGGGGATGCTCACTCCTCCATGGCACCGGATCCCACCTCTGATGTTTCGGGGGTCCGTGTTTGCTCTGCTCTTATTTTGTATTGTTTTATGGACTTTGAGATTGAATACTGTTATTATCTCCATATCCATCATTGAGTCAAACGTTAACCGACAATTTTCATACTAATTCTTAGTCCATTTTTTATACACTGACTTGACGACGGATTTTTTCGATCATAACAAAGAGCACACGGTGGCTGTGACCGGTCAGCAGGGGGCATAACTCCTCCATGGCACCTGATCCCACCTCTGATGTTTCGGAAGTCAGCTCCTATTTTGAATTTTAATGGACTCTGATATTATTATTGATCGTTATTTCCATATCCATCCCTGCTTATCATAACTAAGAATCTTTCTTCCATTAACAAAACGCTTCGTGTTCAGGAGGCCCGAGTTCGTTTCTCGTTTTCGGCGCCGCGTCATACCTAAGACATAAACAAAGGTAGTGACTGTTTCTTCGCCAAGCGCTATGCACTGGAAATGAAAGTTACGGGTCTTTCGAATATGACCTTGAAAACTTAGGTTTCGTGTCAATGTAGACGTTGGCAAGATAAAGAACCATCCGTGCTCAATAGCCCTGAGTGCCGAATATAGGTCTAAATTTGACGCCCTTCACTGGCATACGTTGACGTCTCCATATGCTTGAAAAATTCTCAAGAGGGACGTTAAACAATATACAATCAATCCATCAACAAATTATACGGTACACATAAATAACAAATAACAACAAATTACATTTTATATCTTAAATAAATACTTACATTATATTATTTACTAGACGATAATGATGGCGAGATTTCCATACACGATGCAGCCTGGAATGGTGACATGGATCTTCTAAAGCTCCTTATTGAGAAAGGCTTGAATATCAAAAGCACGAAAGATGACGGAAAAACTGTTGTGCATGCGTGTTGTGGTAATGGTAAGCTAGAAGTTTGTAAGTACTTAGTGAAGACTTACCCTAGCTTAGTACATGTCACTGACAGTCGTGATCGCAACGTCTTACATGATGCAGCACTGAGTGGCGATATTGATATGTTCATGTTTCTAATAAGGAAAGGTTTAGATGTCAATAACAAAAGTAATGATGGAAAAACTGTGCTTCATGCGTGTTGTTATAATGGTAAAATTAAATTGTGCAAGTATTTGGTCAAAACATATCCCTACTTACTAGATATCACTGACAATAATGGTGAAAATGTTTTGCATGCTGCAGCGATAGGAGGAAACATTGACTTATTTATCTTGCTCGTAGGGAAAGGCATTGATATCAGGTCGAAAACAAATGATGGCAAAAATGTTCTACATTTGTGTTGTAGAAATGGTAAGATGGACATGTGTAGGTATTTGGTCAACACATATCCTTACTTACTCAATGTCATTGACAAAAATGGAGGGAATGTCTTACATGATGCAGCTTGGGGCGGTAACATCAATGTGCTAAAATTTCTTTTAAAGGATCCGAAAGGCTTAAAAGTAGATATTAAAAGCAAAGATGGAAAAAGTATTTTACATCAGTGTTGTTTGAATGGTAAACTGGACATGTGTAAGTATTTGGCAGAAACTTATCATTGGTTAATAAACGATATCGACAAGTATGGCGAAACCGTTTTACATGCTGCAGCCTGGGGAGGTAACATTGAGCTGTTAAAATTTCTCATCCAATATGGTTTTGATATAAATGACAAAAGACATGACGGTAAAACACTGCTACATCTATGTTGTATGAATCGGCAGATGGAAATGTGTAGATACATAGTCAGCAATTATACTGACCTTGTAGAGGTCATTGATGATTATGGTCAAAATGCCTTACATGAAAAAGTCTGGGGCGGTGGTATCGTTGGCTCTCCTAAAGGTTTGGTTAGAAAAAGGGCTAAATATTCCTCACACAATGAATGATGGAGTACTTTTCAAAATATTTATTGTCTGAATGGTATTATGATTATTTTTTTAGAATGTTACCAAAATTTATTTGTTAAAGAGAATGATGCGGAGAAATTCAGAAATAATTTTTGGATTCAGCTTTTGGGTAAAGCCATGATAAGTTACATTTATTAGAGAATTAATTTGGTATTGACAAGGCATTCGCAGACTTTGGCAGAACAAAAAGAAGAAAAATGCATAGTTGTTGACAATGAAGGGATAAAAAGCGTAAAATATATATGTTTCGTACTTTAATTAATTAAATAAATTGGGAACATTTCACATTGCAGTACAGTTAACGTGCGCAAAGGAAATATCGACTGAATTTTGTATTTAAAAATGTATTCGTAATCGGGATGGCGATTATTTTTAGTACATTATTTATATCGGATAATTGTAATTATGATTAATAGCTACATATCGAGGACTATTATATTTTATATTTAGACTAGTCACGTGATGCGGCCGTCACGCGATTTTAGCTAATTGACTTGAAGTATTGATGTTACATTTAATATCACAAGTGCAAGGGCATACAAGTTAAATACAAGTTAAATTTCCAAGTTTAGTATATAAATAGATTCTGCAATTTCATTGTTAAAATTATACTTGTTTGACCGAATGCTATATTTTTTGCTGGTCAGCAGCAAGAAATATTGATGTAATTAAATTGTTTTTAAGATTTCATCAGGATCGCAGAACTTTTCAGATACCTTAATAGTTCTATTGTTGAAATTTAAAAGCTTACTTTGATCCATAAAGTGTATGCCCTTGCACTAGATCGATTTATTAAGACCCCCCACATTACCCTCCGATGTACTTGCATACAAATATACGGCAGTGTCAATTAAATACGTAATGTATAGAAAATAGATTAGTTAAATAGTGAAGAAGACATTAAATTCAAGTTATTGGCCCATAGAATATCTGTAAATAATATTTTATTTAATTAGAGAATACATATTTTGTTGAGAAAAATTACTTTATCTGTCTCTCACTGCATACAAACTACGTCACTTTGTAAGAAATGACGTCATATTGACAAGTGTATTGCGATCAGTGACTTGTTTATAAATTGTTATGTGCATGGGATTTAACTAACGACAAAGCAACACGCTGTAGTAAGTTTTTATGTAGTTTGATGATTTCTTACTGATTAAATTAGCAGATAAACTCATTTTGTGGTATTTTAAAGAAATGTGGTATGACGTATATTATGTATGACAAGTCAAGTCAAGTTTTTCCGTACAAATTAGGCTCCGCCTCCTTTTTGTAACCTTAACTGTGCTGCAATTTTGAAATAGTATTAGTTATGAATTGTTCAATTTAATATTGATAGAAGGGAAACCTGTTAAAGTACAAATATGAGTAATTTTCTTAACCTGACCTTTATCTGCGCACTGTCAGTGCAATATAAAATAAGCAGGGGTTGAATTATATCTGAAATGTTTACTGTGACGCTTTGTGCTGATCATTTTTTCATAAATGTATATTTTCTCATGTATCTTTGCCACAAATTAAATGTTTTTGCTATATTGAGAATTCAATCTCCATGAAGTATATATTAGATGCAATAATCAACTGATTTCATAATAAACCTTACTTCCATGTAGAGTTTGATACACCATGCGATTTCAATCAATATTTAATTCAAAATGCCAAAATTAATTTAATTTAAAATGTATCAATTTTGTGGCATTACTATTTTTTGTTTATTTAGTTATACTATACATTTACACTATTCTTTTGCAATTTTAAACATTTTTAAGCACTAGCTAATTAACAAATTATATTTGGACAGGGGTTACGATAAACAACTGTGACTTTATAAAATAGTGTTAATATGTGAAAAATTGTATGATTGTAACAGTGAAAGTCATGCTAAGGAAATGTGAAATTACATTACAACAAGAGGCCCATGGGCCTTATAGGTCACCTGAGCATCATGCAACAACTTTCCAACGATTGAATTTGGTTTATTTTTTAAACTTGACATAATGGTATTCACGATTTTGAAAGAGGCACCATTGGTTATTTTTATAATAAATATACACTTAGCATGGTTACTTTGGTTACTTAATTTCCATATATAGAGTAGGGAAACCAAATAAAATGCATTTTGACCAATCAGTAATATTCAGCAGTAATCAGTTGTGCCCTTACCACACATGAACGTCTGACCCTTCACAATTTTACTCATTAAAATGTTTCATCAATATCAAGGAGCAGATATTAATCAATTAATTCATTTACAGTGTATAAGTAGAGCCCCCCCCCCCCTCTATGGTATCCTTTAACCCAGGAGTCTTGAAATTCACAATTCATGAAGAATAATAATATTCACAATTTTGAAAGAGGCATTCTTCCTCATCATAACTATGTATTTAGTTAATTTGTTTAATACCGAGGAGCAGAGAAGAGGATTTTTAAGGAAATAATGCATTCTCACTATATAATCAATAGAGCCCCGTCCTAACACCAGAACCCCTGAGCCTGGGGTCAGAAAATTCACAATTTTGGAAGAGGCATTCTTCCTCATCAAAACTATATACTTAGTTTGTTTAAAACCCAGGAGCAGAGAAGAAGATTTTCAAAGAATTTGTTTATAATCATTATAGAGCCCCGCCCTAACACCTTTCACCTAACCCTGGGGCATTAAAATTCAGAATCATACTTTCTCAACTTATGTACTTATTAGTTTATTTAAAATCCAGGAGCAGAGAAGAGGATTTTTAAAGAAATAATACATTTTCACTATATAATCAATAGAGCCCCGCCCTAACACTAAAACCCCTTATCCCAGGGCCATGAATTTCACAATTTTGGTAGAAGACTTAATTGCCATTATGTTTATGCTAACAGTTTGATTGCTTGAGGTCCAGGAGTAAAGAAAAAGCTTTTTAAAGATTGCATTAATTTTAGTGGTTTTTGCCCCACCTCCAGGCCCCAGGGGGGCAGGGACCATGAAATTCACAATTGTTGTTCCCCTTTACCCATAGATGCATTATGCTAAATTTGGTGGAAATCGGTGGAGAGGTTGCAGAAAAGAAGCTAAAAATGTTCAAATGTTAACAAACAACGCACGATGCACGACGCACGACGACAAACGAAAACAGATAGCAATAAATCACCTGACTTTAAAAAGGTGACCTAAAAATTAATTCTATGTCTGTTGATTACAAACTTAAGAGAATAAAGAATTGTAAAACGAGAAAATTTGGAGCATACGTATTTTAGCGCAAAAGCAAGCGGAAATGCATTGGCGCAAATAAATTTTAGCGCTTCCACTTGTCATCAAAATAAATAGATGTGATATTTTATTTTTTAATCCACGCCCCGTATTTGACTTTTTGGGTGTTGAACTATGTTCAATCTCCCATGGGCATCACGCATTTAACATGCGCAGTAATTTGTGTTGATTATATAGAGCCGAAAGCGAGGCTACTGTGTCGACCGACTTACTCCGATGATATTCAACAGAAAACATGCATATAAACATCCGCAACAAATAGTTCGTGTCATTTCTCCTGAATTGATCTAATTTTCATAATGTAAGTAAATGTAATGATAAAGTACTGTATAGGGGAATAATTTCACGGGTTGTAATTTTCACGTTTTTCTCTCATCTGACACGATCGCGGTTTCTAGAATTCGCGGACATCGGTATGTAATAAAAGTTACTTCCCTTGTCTCCAATTAATCCATATCATAGCTACATGTGAACGATGTTTATCAGCGTTATGTCTTTATTTCACGAACAACAGCTAGGAAGGTTATAAAATTGTTAGATTTTATAAATGATTAATTAACACAAATGCAGTAATTTATATAGTCCCTTATTTCAAATGACTTTCCTAAACGCAATTACGATGAGTGCATGTGCACCTAATATCTTCAATACAACACGGCGAAAACAACCACTGGACGGAAATAAAGTGTGTTTGTGTAGTTCTGTGAAATAATAAACTTCCAAATCGTCACAAACTTCGATATTTATTTGAATGATTTTTTAAAAACAAAATGTCGATAAAAACTACATGAACTAATCTGCATGAGAATGCAGGTAACAAATACACTTGGTAACATTAGTTACGCACGAGTAATCAAAACCCATGGCCCACGTGTCTTGATTGATGAAACATGTAGCGTTGGCTATTAAACCAGCTTTTGAACAAACACAAATTATTATCTGCCGATTTGAATTAAAGTAAAGAGTGATAATTAAAATTAATTTAATGACAGTGCAAATCGTAATTACTGAAATGACCATGTACTGCACGTACGCCTATGTAAATCCATTGTAGTTCATTCTCAAATTTCCAAATAAAACATGGAGATTGTTGAATATTTATTCACTATCTCTTGAATTCATGGATTTGTTAACACCGTGAATATAGCGAATATTAACACTGCGAGTTATTTTCCCCCTATACAGTAATCTTATTATGAATATTAGATTTCGTTCAAAGTTAAACTAAATTATAAAAAAAACCTCAAAAGTTTTTTGAAATGGAACTCATTTTTAGTGTAGCGTCATACACTGAAAGAGATACGAACGACAACTCTACATACTGACGGCAAGCGGTAAATCTAGTCTTCCCGACGCCTGATGGTGCCGGATTTTTAGCAATTTCTTTTTTACCGGTGCACAGAATTTATTCAAACTTTTCTTGAACATTTTCTTTGTTTAAATGAATTCTTTAATGCATAAAAACTTTAGAAAACATGCGTATTTATTACTTAATCAGAAGTATCACCTGCCAAAAGCGGTAAATCGAGTACTCTGTTATAAATGTTAAAACCAAAAACGGACACCGATGTTTTCGTAAAATCGCGATTAAGAACAACAAAATGAAGTATATTTTTTTTTAATAAAAGGAAAACCTCATTTACATACCAGATAATTTGTACACACACTAACTCTCACACTGCTCTAATGTTTGGTCATAAAATATTTGTTTTTAACTTGGTATTGCTTTTTTCTTCACAATATTAAAAAAAGATTAAGTTCTGACGTACTCCATGTATAATGTTTGTGTAATTGAACTACATTTATATTCACAGTTTTATATAACAAACCTGTTAGCTCTTAAAAGGATGCTGTGTTAAAATCCACATTTTATTTACATTGATATTATTCCTGCGAAACTGAAATTTTCATAACACATGGGTAAAAGTGATAAGAAAAATATAATACAAATTTGAAGACTGTGAGCAGTGAATTATATAAATGACCAACCGCCTCTTATATGAATATAATAGCAGTGGCCATGTTTTGCAATTGGAAACCCAAAATATGTGTAGGGGGAAAATTAGAGTAATAGAAGGTGAACAACGGCAATATGTAATAAAGAATCTATGAAAATTTCGTTCAGTGGTGTAAGAGGAGTTGCAGATAAGAGATGGGTATACCCAAAGCGTAACAAACAGATGGGCAGAAATCCCGATTGATTAATACCCTTTTGCTTTTCAAGTAGGGGGTATAAAAATAGACTAATGTAAACAGGCTCTTTAATGTCACTGAATGTCTTTCTCAATATTCTTGCAACTCAAAAAATCTGAAACAGTTGTCTGTTTTTGAAATAATAATATTGTTCACTCACTTAACATCCCGATCAAAGATTTTATTTTACACCATGTTCAACTCCCATGAGTGCTTTCAGAACTTTGCTTGATTAGCACTCCCGTATATAAGAAACATTTGCAAATTTTACCGTGGTGTTGCTATCAAATGGACAAAGCGCAATGCTAAAATTTATTTTATTTCTTGTTTCAAATAAAAGAAATGGAGTATTTACGTTTTTATTTCATGCGTCGAAAGAAACTTGGATTAACGGTTATTATGATCAGCTATTGTCTGCAAATTCAATCGCCATGCTTGTTTCCGTTGTTTACCTCGAGGCGATAGATGGTCGACACGCCGAGAAGCCAAACTTTGAAGGTGCTAATGATAAGAATTGGGTAACAACTACTTGGCTAACAATAATTTAATTATATTATAATTTGGCAAGACTTTCTGTTTTCTTACCATGTGCAGTGCTAGTATGTATATAAAATCCAAAGACCCTTCGACCTCACGTAATCGCGCGTTCCGGTTTACATGTACTTATGTAAAAGCTTTGAACACAAATACAAAATGATGTTTAGAAATCCTTTAGTGCACAATTAGTTGAAGCGTTCGGGGGCTCTTGCGCCAAAGGCGCTAAAATTAGTAGTGCGCCAAATATTCTCGTTTTACAGAAAATCACAAACAGTAAGAAGAAGGTATGGTTTTAGCTTTATTGCGCCCTAAAAATGTTATGACATCAAAAAGTTTTGGAACTGGCTTAAATATTAGTTAAATAAATGACTCTAATAAATCGGGAAAAAATATAGCATGAAGGTTTACCATTCTGCAAATATGACGTCATTAATGTAAAGCATTTCTCTATTTTCAACATAAAAAGCCTCAAAATGGCACATTTCAAGGGTGATTTTCCTTTAGAAAATAGTGTCCACAGCCGTCGCCCACGTTAATTTTTTCATATTTTGTACAACATTCAATAACAAATCACATATCTCAAGATCTTTGTGGGCGATGCCTGTGGACAATGTTATCTGAAAGAAAATTCCATTGAAAATTGGTGTCTTCTGCATCTTTCAAGAAAATACGGGAAAATGCACATGTTTATGCTGTCATAAATAGCATTAAATCACATGTGAGAAAAATGACTTGTATGATTTTTCTGCATTGAATTTCAATTATTTAAAAAGCATGAGTTTTAAACTTTTACACCAGTTTCATTTTTTAGAATATCACAGGGCAAAATTTGTATGGAAACCATACCTTCTTCTTTATGACTTACGAGGACATTTTCATCTGCATATTTATTTAACTGAATTCATTTAACAGTATACTTTTCTTGCTTTGTTTGATACAATTTTTTATGTGCATATCGTTTTGATATTTTCGATTTATAATAAAATAAAGACAACTCAATATAAATCTTCAATAAATTGTTCTTTTTATGCCCCCGTAAACGAAGTTTCGGAGGTATAAATTTTTTGACGTGTCAGTCTATCTCTCTGTCTATTTGTCTCTCTGTCTGTCTGTCTGTCTGTCCTAAAAAACTTTAATCTAGCCCATAACTTTTGTTTTAGTGGACCTATGACTTTCATATTAAACATGTGTATTCCTTGCGACATGACCTTTCTTTGGGTACCGCCAAATTTGATCTTTTGACCTTGATCTTCGAGTTTGACTCACTTTTAGACAATAATTCCAAA